ACGGGGGATGAGAGAAGCTGGCGCTCAGCACAGCCTTCCCTCACACACACAGCCACAGGAGAACACACAGGGGGTGGGGGGGGGTTTCCTTGCTCTCTCTTAAGTATTGAGCTGGTAACCAGATACTTCCTGTCGGGTTACCATGGCAATGGGTCCTGTCCAGAGAGTTCAGGAATTTGTGCATGAGGGGGAAGGGAGGAGGGGTCCAGAGTAATTTAATTAGGCCATTTGGCCAGTGACACGGGACAATTGGAACAATACAGAGCAGGACTCTGAGGGCATGTGATACAAGGCATTAATAAGGGGATTAATAATTGGCAGGCTCCCATACCGCGACAGTTTATGTGATGTCACAATAACATAAATCTTACATTTTACAGATGATATTTTTCTCAGTTTTCCTTGATTTAGAGTGGAGATCCAATCGATATAGAATTTGAGGTGAAAGCAGAAGAAGAAAGAGGCGTATGTGAGGGATGATCAGCAGTCTATGGAGGAGGATGGAATAACGGGGACATTTATAGAGGAGGACACTCCTACAGAGATCAGCACAGGTGGGTCATGAACACTAAATCCATTCCTCCACCCATACTGCTCACTGATTGGTCCAGAGTAGGGCGGGGACTGGGTGATATCAGCCTGTAATCCCCTGGTCACTTTCCTGAGCTGTGTTCCCCGTCCTGTATTCCTGGATTTCTCTCGGATAATCTTCCTTCTCTGTGCTGCAGACACAATTTATGTATCTAGACTGGATTTATGGAGGTTCTGGGGTTCAGCTGGCAGAAAAATGTTCATTTTCACCATTAGTGATACTAGACCTAGGCACCTGGGGTGTGTGCTTTGATCTTCTCCCCCATGTCCGGGTCTAGCAAGATCTCTGACAGAACATTTCTCCCAGGGTTCCTTGCTCTGTGGTCTGCTGGCTGTGCCGGGTGGAGGGATATGTCTGTAGTGTCTCAGACCCAAGTCACTGAGTGCAGTCTCAGGAGATGGGAGGCAGCGGTGTGGGATCTCTGCAACTTGTCTACAGTAAACATTTAAAGTGGTTGTAATCCCTCCATATACCCAGTGCAGTGACTGGCCTCAGGTGATACACAGAGATGAAAAACAAATCCTCCTACATATGTTGTACCTTTTTATCTGCAGCATCTCTTCTCTATATCTGTTCAAAGTCCAGAATTTATACAGCTTGTTTGAGAAGTCAGAAAAAAAGGAAGCTAAAGTCACATCTCTTCAGAGCTCAGTGAAGTGAGCTCTGAGAGATGATTGGAGGGAAGGGACACACCCCCTTCACACAAGAACAGAGCTGAGGCTGTCAATCACAGGCTCTGTGCTGGAGCTCCCTCCCTTTTTTTTTTTTCTCTTGGTGTCAGGAAGACTTGTCAGAAGTGATTCATGCTGATGCAGAGGAAGGAGACAGCAGAGAGAAATGGCTCTTATTGCTCTGGACTGAGACAAGTACACACTGTAGAGGGATATGCTTTGTTCATATTCCATGTCTGAGGGTTACAACCCCTGTAAGTGATGATCTCTGATTACTAAACACCAATTTGATGTGATCCTTACACTATTTATTAGTGTGGCCCCCTTGTCCTGAATAGAGGCAGGTACTATGTGGGTTTAGTTTGTGGCTGGGCTGTACTTGGCTCAGGCTGATTGTATATAGTTCTTCACTTGGTTTCTCCCTAAGTTTAGGTTGTCTTGTGATGTCTCACTGTGGCCAGTAGATGTCACTGCTATCACTGGACATAGGATGAGATTTCACCAACCAAACTGAAGGGATATTAAACCACAAATGTCCCATATTGCAGCTTACCAATCATTGGATGTGTGGCGGCTGCATTCCTTTTTTCTTTGGCTTTTTTCCCTGTTTTCACCTGGTGATCTGGCCAGTAAAACACACACTTATGTATTAGAGCGCCCCCACTGTGGAGACAGCAGCATGGTCAGTCTGGGGGGAGGGGAGTGTTAGATGTATTAGCAGATATAAAAACAGTAACTAATTGAAGCCAAACTCCAGCTCACACTTCATAATCAGTTACATCAAACAGTTTTTTTTTTCTTTTGGGATAAAAGTTTTACATGAATAAATAAAAGCTGCTCATTGTAAGCCCCCTGTCAGTGGTAAATGGTCTGCCTCATCCCTGGAACTGATACATTCTGCTGCAGAGTTTTTATAAAACAGATTTACTGGCTAGATCACCAGATGAATATAGAAGAAATCCTAAAAAATAAAACTAATACTGTTTAGTCCTAACTTTTGTATCCTTTATGATAAGTTGTACATTACATACAGTGAAGGAAATGCATATATTTGCTCCCCGGCTGATGGTGAATGTTCGCCCCTCACACAGAAATGATCGGTCGGTCTAACAATGGAATGTTCGCCCCTCACACAGAAATGATCGGTCTAACAATGGAATGTTCGCCCCTCACACAGAAATGATCGGTCAACAATGGAATGTTTGCCCCTCACACAGAAATCGGTCTAACAATGGAATGTTTGGTGTAACACTGAGAGACAGAATACAACAACAAATTCAGCAGAAATGCGTCTAACAAATGATGACTGATCTGCATGTTCATGAGGGAAAGAAGGATTTGATCCCCTATCATTCAGCAGGATTTCTGGCTCCCAGGTGTCTTTCATACAGGTAACAAGCTGAGATTAGAAGCAGTCTCTTAAAGGGAGTGCTGCTAATCTCATTGTGTTACCTGTATAAAAGACACCTGTCCACAGGAGCCATCAAACCATCAGATTCCAAACTCTCCACCATGGCAAAGACCAAAGAGCTGTCCAAGGATGTCAGGGACAAGATGGTAGACCTACACAAGGCTGGACTGGACTACCAAACTATGGCCAAGCAGCTTGGTGAGAAGGTGACAACAGTTGGTGCAATCATTCACAAATGGAAGAAACACAAAACAAGTGTCAGTCTCTCCCTAGGTCTGGTGCACCATGCAAGATCTCACCTCATGGAGTGTCAATGATCATGAGAACAGTGAGGAATCATCCCAGAACTACACGTGAGGATCTTGTCAATGATCTCCAGGCAGCTGGGACCACAGTCACCAAGAAAACAATTGGTAATACACTACGCCGACAAGGACTGAAATCCTGCAGTGCCCGCAAGGTCCCTCTGCTCAAGAAAGCCCATGTACAGGACCGTCTGAAGTCTGCCACTGAACATCTGAATGATGCAGAGGAGGACTGGTGGGAAAGTGTTGTGGTCAGAGGAGACCAAAATCCAGCTCTTTGGCATCAACTTAACTCGCCGTGTTTGGGGAGGAGGAGGATGAATGCTGCCTATGACCCCAAGAACACCATCCCAACTGTGAAATGGTGGTGGAAACATTCTGCTTTGGGGTGGTTTCTGCTAAGGGGACAGGACAACTGCACCGTATCAAAGGGACGATGGACGGGGCAATGTACCATCAAATCTTGGGTGAGAACCTTCTCTTCCCTCAGCCAGGGCATTGAAAATGGGTGGTGGATGGGTGTTCCAGCATGACAATGACCCAAAACACACGGCCAAGGCAACAAAGGAGCGGCTCAAGAAGAAGCACATTAAGGTCCTGGAGTGGCCTAGCCAGTCTCCACACCTTCATCCAATTGAAAATCTGTGGAGGGAGCTGAAAGTTTGAGTTGCCAAACGTCAGCCCACCAAACCTTAATGACTTGGAGAGGATCTGCCAAGAGGAGTGGGCCAAAATCCCTCTCCTGAGATGTGTGCAAAACTGGGGGGGCCAACTCCAGGAAAACGTCTGACCTCTGTGATTGCCAACAAGGGATTTGCCACCAAGTACTAAGTCATGTTTTGTGAAGGGGATCAAATCCTTCTTTCCCTCATGAACATGCAGATCCGTCATCATTTGTTAGACGCATTTCTGCTGAATTTGTTGTTGTATTCTGTCTCTCAGTGTTACACCGAACATTCCATTGTTTAGACCGATCATTTCTGTGAGGGGCGAACATTCAACATCAGCAGGGGGAGCAAATACACATTTCCTTCACTTTAGGCCTTAATTATTTTCCACCCATTTCCTCCCAGCTGGACATTTTATATCGGATGATGTGATTGGAGCACAGACTTTTACATGGTGATAATAATGTGATAACATCCTCCAACTTTGGACCCTTAAACAGAAAGTGATAATGAGGGAGGAGTCAATACCCCAATGATGGTGGTCTTCAGGATCAGTCCAGTCTTCATCTTGGTTGTTTCTCCCTCCCCCCATCCTCACTCTCTGACCTCTGGTGGGGCTCAGCCCCGCTGTTCTTCATGACTAAATCATGGGACTAAATAAGGAAGTGCAGTACTTCTTGTGTTGGGAAGATGGCGATGAGTGATAGAGGGGGTGGGGACCCTCGTCCTATAATCCCCTCATCACTGTCCCTCCTATAAAAGACAGTTCTGGTTGTTTCCTCACTCTCTGACTAAGGTCCATGAATAAAGAAATGACCTGGTAGGGAGATCAGAGGAGCCATTTCCTAGTTCCCTTGAGGGTGGAATTGTAAGCTCCTCAGAGACCAAGCTGCCTGATGTGGGCGGAGTCCTGGTTTGGGGGAACCAATCAGCTCCTGTCTAGTAATCCTCTTTGTCTTTGTATTTTAGTCCATGGCCGGGAGATGAGGAAAACCTCCGAGGATTGTCTCACTTTGTCTCCAGACTGGAAAGTAGAAGATGAGGACATCACACAGTATAGTCCAGGAGAAAACCCGGCTCCCTCCAATGTCCATCCGGCACCACCCAGTGTAGATGGACCATCGGATTCCTCGTATCCTGAGGAACCTCAGACTGTGCGGGACCGGGCCGGCCTCCAACAGGGAAGAGCTTCTCCTGTACTGAGTGCGGAAAGGGTTTCCATGATAAATCTAATCTTAATGTGCATAAAAGATCTCACACACTGGGGGGAGAAGCCGTCCTTTCCTGTCCTGAGTGCGGGAAATGTTCCGTTTTACAAAATCGTCTTAATGAGCATAAAAGATCTCACACGGGGAGAAGCCGTATTCCTGTCCTGAGTGCGGGAAATGTTTTTCAAGTAAGTCCAATCTTTACAAACATCAGAGATCTCACACAGGGGGAGAAGCCATTATTCCTGTCCTGAGTGTGGGAAATGTTTTTCACAGAAATCCAGATCTTTACACACATCAGAGATCTCACACAGGTGAGAAGATATTCCTCTGTCCTGAGTGTAGAAAATGTTTTTCAGAGAAAGTCATCTATACACACATCAGAGATCTCACACAGGGGAGAAAGCCATATTCCTGTCCTGAGTGTGGGAAATGTTTTTTCACTGAAAGTCCAATCTTTACAGACATCAGAGATTCACACGGGGGAGAAGCCATATTCCTGTCCTGAGTGTGCGGGAAATGTTTTTCAGAGAAGTCCATCTTTACACATCATCAGAGATCTCACACAGGGGAGAAGCCATATTCCTGTCCTGAGTGCGGGAAATGTTTTTCTGATAAGTCCAGTCATCTTCACATTCATCAGAGATCTCACACGGGGAGAAGCCGTATTCCTGTCCTGAGTGTGGGAAATGTTTTTTCACAGAAGTCCATCTTTACACACATCAGAGATCTCACACGGGGGAGAAGCCATATTCCTGTCCTGAGTGTGGGAAATGTTTTTCATAAAAGTCCATCTTTACACACATCAGAGATCTCACACGGGGGAGAAGCCATATTCCTGTCCTGAGTGCGGCGGGAAAATGTTTTACAGACAAGTCCAATCTTACACACACATCAGAGATCTCTCACACGGGGGAGAAGCCGTATTCCTGTCCTGAGTGCGGGAAATGTTTTTCACTGAAGTCCAATCTTTACAGACATCAGAGATCTCACACGGGGGAGAAGCCATATTCCTGTCCTGAGTGTGGGAAATGTTTTTTCAGACAAGTCCCATCTTACAAACATCAGAGATCTCACACAGGGGAGAGAAGCCATATTCCTGTCCAGAGTGCAGGAAATGTTTTTCAGACAAGTCCATCTATCTTCACATCAGAGCTCTCACACAGGGGAGAAGGCATATTCCTGTCCTGAGTGCGGGAAATGTGGGACGGAAGTCTAATCTTTATTGACATCAGAGGTCTCACACGGGGGAGAAGCCCTTTTCCTGTCCTGAGTGAGGGAAATGTTCCTCACTGAAGTCCTGTCTTCCTGTACATCAGGGGTCCCACACAACCCTGGAGGTGTATTAGTGCCTTGAGTGCGGGAAATGTCTTCTAGATGAATGTTGCTGGACATCCCAGCTCAAAGACATGTGGGGAGGAAGAAGCACACCCTGATATACACCTCAGAGTATAGGGACTCCATGGCTGATCTTCATCGGGGGCGGAAACAGTTGATAAGGAGATGAGAGGCCCCCAAAGACATGGATGAAGTGCAGTAAATGTCGGGGTGCTAGTGGTCAGTAGATCCTGGAAATGAAGGACACAACTTCAGCCCTTCTTGGCTGTGTCGGATTTTGCGTTTCTTTGATAAACACTATAGCGGGTTACAGAGCTAGAAGCCGGGAGAGCCCAGATCTCGAATGTCGGGGAACTTTACACAGACAACAAGAACTTCTGAAGTTGATGTCCTTCATTTCAAGGGCTCTACAGAACAGTGGTGACCCCGAAGCGTCTCTCTGGTCTTCAGTCCATCCTTCTCCCATCCCCCAATTTCAGGAAGGAGAACTCCGCCCCAAACTAGGGGGAACTGAAAAATCCCCCCCCCATTTTTATTCCTCTAATGTCACCCCAGCAGAGGGATCCCATCTAGGCTTCATGTGGGTTTGGGTGGTGGTTGGAGGAGTGCGGCACGAGAGGGAACTGCATGATTTTGTTCTATGGGAACATGCAGATTGGGGTCTGGGTAGAGGGGATAAACCCGGAAAATACTACTCTTTATTTTGTGACATCAGAGTTTCTGTTTTCACTTTGAAGAATAAAATGTGTGTTTGTAAAAGGGATTGGCCCAATAGATACACCCCCCCTTAGAGAATAGATGAACTAATATGACCAGCTCCTTTCCCCCATTTCACATGTTGGGATCTTTTCTACAATACTTTGTTATAATAATGGAACACGTTGTGTATTGTATTGTACACCAATAATAATGACTCCGCCCCCACATTCCAGACAAGGGATCTTCCTGACCAATCGGATTTCTTCCTTTACTATTTCCTGATTATTTTGACTGCAATCTTGTTAAAAGTGAAATTATAATAAAAATGTATTGAACAAAAACAAAATGTGTGTGTGTGTGCAATGATGACAAAGCTGTGTATCCAGAAACGGCTGGTCGGTGACACTTCCATATACAGCCCAATGAAGTGACAAGGAAGCCCTAGAACCCTTTGGAGGAACCCTGGCTGAGAAAGGCTGGACTAGGCAGTCACATATCTCTGCCCCCCTTGCAGGGTTCCCAACCCTCCAGTGACTTTTATTACTGACACAACATGAACATTTACTGACGGAGGACATTTTTTACTGACATCCTGAAAAATGACAGAACTCCTGTTAGGATGTCAGACGATGGATATTGAATCCATAATAACAGGACATGTGATCACTGACAATCCCCAGAACAAGCCATCTGCCTGGTTTACACCTAATAATTCAATCCATGGTGACCACAAATCAGCCCAACGCAGACACATGAAAACCAAGTTCTGCTCGGCATGTCATGGAGAGTAATGGGCACGATCAGATGGGAGGGCTTAGAAGAGGATGATGTCACAGACCCCCCCCCTGATCACCTACCTCTAAATGAAGAAAGCAGCTGATTGGGTGAGTACACATTGCTGTGACCTCCATGCTTAGCTTCACAGTGCGGCAATTTTTACCTTCACATGCCGAGTCTCACAGGTGGCACCGCCTGTCATACCATTGTGCTGAAATGTCATTGCAGCAACTCAGAATGGTCCTCAGTAGTCTGTATGGCCCCCATGTGCTTGTATTCATGCCTGACAACGTCGGGGAGGGTCCTAATAAGATATCACCAGCAAGACTCCCATCATCCATCCACTACACATCTGCATCAGAGGCTGGTCAGGAGCTCGGAGGAAAGGATTCATCCCCGAAACGCGTCAGTCATTTGACTGCACTGACACTTGGAACACCTTGCTTGCCGTTGTGGCCATCGTCATTATGCCAAATGCTTTTTTAGATACATGCTTCACCTGTGAGTCTGGTTTTATTTTTTTCACTCCTTCCAATAAACCTTGGATAATGCACAAGGGTGTTGTGCGCACCTGTTTATTCTCTATCTAGTGGCTGATCTCCCCGTCTGAGGAGGGCTGCACCCCTGAAGCATTTCCTTTGGTTGTCGCTGTCCTGGTTCCCTTGGCTTCCCTTTTGGCTGTGCATATCCTGAGGCGCTGGAGACTACATACGATATCCGGTTTGGTTGCAACCTGGTGGCGTCGGATGGACCAAAACATGATATCCTAGAGGTGTTCTGTTGGATTTAGGTCAGGTAAGTGAAAGGATTGATTTTTCTTATCCCCTCAGAGACCCCCGGTCTGTGGAGAGATTCCTGGTTTATCAGCAGAATTCTGGGAACACACCCCTTGAACACGGAAATAATGGCAGCTATATGTTCAGAGGATGTTCAAAGTTTATTAGACATTACTAAGATTATATAGGATACAGAAATAATAAGCGGGGGGGGGGAGCGAGTTCTAGAACTGTAATTGTAAGTTTCCATCATGAGCTGACTACATGAAACATGACATATACATTTCTTGGTATATACAAACTGTTTTTTGCTAGCTTTCTGAGAAATAGCCCGGGCAAGAAAACTTCAGGGTCATGTTATCTTTTGTTGATACATCCTTCACCAAAACTAAAACGTTCCATTAAACTTCTAATATATCTGCAAAAACCTAACTTAATACTTAAAATGGCGTACATCAACACAATGAGGTTCTCTAGATCCTTTCAATCCCCTCTTAGATCATGAACATGATCTCAATTCTTTACCTCATCTCATCTTTTTCATCAGATAACCTTCATTTGTATTTTGCGCTTGGTAGCTCTAGCAATGCAATATAATAAGCATTTAAAACATAGATATAAAAAATAAAACAAAAAACAATATCATCGACTATGATTACAGCGATACCTTTCATCCATGAAAAGACGGAACCAAATCCTGATCCTAGCCAATCAAAAGGAGTCCATCCATCTTTTCCTATCAACTTAGCTCTAGCCTTCTTCCATCAAACCAGTCCTACCTTTCCCGTGTTGCTTTATTATTTCATAATAATCTGGAACAGTCATTGTGGTATTATATATCCAAGTACAACA